CTGAGGTGTATGAACAGGCGCTACCACTGATGAAGAAAGAACCTGTTGGGGTGTATGATCCTCGGAGGACAGTGGCTTCGGCCAAGAAGGGAGGCACGAAGAAGCAAAAACATTGGAATTGGATGATGTGTGTTGGCGTTGCTGTCCTAGTGTTGTTAGGTTTCAATTCGGCCATTCTCCTTGTGTTGGTTGTCATGCAAATGTATAAATAACAACTGCTTATGTTTAATTTTCCATTGTAAAATGGTTCCAGTGACTTGTTCCTCAGTTATCAATGCATATGATTATGTCTAACTTATAATTGTCATGTACTGATGTGTCCAGTTCCTTTCCCAATCATTTTCATTGAAATGACAACACATGTAAATGCAAATAGATAAGGCCAGATGGTTCACATAACTTAAGACAAATTGTCATACATGGCAGTTCTAGTTTACTGCGTACATAAGAGGAAATAGATAACAACAGTCTAAAGTTTACTGCATACATAATTGTCATACATCATAAAGGGCATATTTATTCAAGTTTGGCATACAACCAGACACACAAACACATCACAACTTATCACATTTCCATGGAGGAAGAATCTGGAGTGGATTAGTTCCATATTTGTTTGGAATAGGCTTCTTCTTTGCTGGCTCTTGAGCAGACACATGAGCAGATGCAGTCCCACCAGTTAGCTGTACATTAACACTGCAGTTAACATTGGAAGTGGGCACTCTAACTTGCAGGTTAATTGTAGCTGACCCAGAAGGAATTGTTGAAACCCTTGCACGTGCACTTGATTTGATGATGTTTTATGAGTTTGTTGCCTTTGCTTATAACAATCAAAAGAAGCTAGAATTAATTTTAAATACAACTTGCATAACATAAAACTTGGAGATGTTGGTAAACATACCTTTTTCATGCTCTGTGCACTAGATACATCAGATGTGGCAGTCCTTTTTGTACCACTTGCCGTGCTCTTTTGTGTATTGGAAAGCACAACCATAGCATTTGGGTTACCTCCTGCAGCTGACTGAGATCCTGTTGGCTGTGATACTGGAACTAACTTATATCCTGTTGGCTGTGATACAGGAACTGACTGAGAGCTACCTCCTGCTCTCTGAGAACCTCCTGCATGTGAAGGTCCTACTCCACTTATGTTAGTACATGTTGACTTGTTGTGTCCAGGCAAGCGGCATTTGCTGCATCTGATAATTGTTCCAGTTTTTGACATTTTAGTGGCCTTTCTCACTTCTGTTGGTTCCCTTCTCCTCTCAGTCTTTGGCCTGCCAGGCATTTTCACATAACCAGGAGCTCTAAGGGGTTCCCTATCAGATGCAGACCAGCTATTCATACCCTCAACTGGGTTTAAGCAATGACTATATGTTTGGTTAAAGTGGTGTACAGAGTAGCAGTCAGCCACATATTCATCTAGGCAGTTGATCTTGAATAATATACATGAAATGGCATGGCAACAAGGAAGTCCAGACAATTGCCAATACCTACAGGAACATTTCTTTGACACCAAATCCACTGTGAATCTATTGTCAAAATGCTGAACTTCAAATTTGTCGTTCCCATTGCAAATGGCATGGCAGTGTGCAGACATAGAAATGTAGACATTAAATTTTTTATTGATGTTTGGGCAGATAACCATTGTCCACTTCTGTGATTTAGTTCTTTGTTCTTGGATCCTGACCATTACTTTCCTTCTAATAGTTTCAAGCATGGTGATTATAGGAAAGAACCTAGCCTCGATGATCCATTTGTTGAATGATTCACAAATATTATTATCTACGGAGTCACAATTAGAACCCAACCTGAACCAAGCTCGGCTCCAATGCTGAGGATGTGTGCTCATTATAGCTTGTGCACCTGCTCTAGTGTGTTGTGCTAGCTTTGCTCTTGCCAAGTTGAAAAGCATCAAACAAGGTGCTTTGGCACACCTCTAAAAAAATTTCTGGTAGTCCTTCGTAAACTCCTTCTTCCAGTTTGCATAAATGTGCCTAGCACAGTTCCTGCGTTCAGCTTCAGGTGCCCATTTGCTGACAGCATTAAGAATTCCCTGAACAAGTTGAAAATATTATAAATCATCTGCCTTCATAGTTACAAATTTTAACATAACAAATGTTTTACAGCAGCATACCTTTTGCTGGTCTAAGATGAAAACCCATCCATGTCCTCCCTGCACACCAACATCCCTAAAGAGCAGATCACAGAACCAATCCCAATTGTCGTTGCTCTCCTTGTCCACAACTGCCCAGGCAATAGGGTACATCTGGTTGTTGGCATCCCTCCCAATAGTACAAAGAAGTTCACCGTTAGTTGCTCATTTGAAAAAGCATCCATCTAACCCAACAACTTTCCTACAGCCAGCTTTGAACCCTTCTTTGCAAGCATGCAGACATATGTACATTCTTCTAAAAATAGGAGGCTCTACATTATCTTTCTTGTTCACAATAACGTTGCTTCCTGGGTTGCTTCTGAGAAACTCCATTTGGTAGTCATACAGCCTAGAGTACTGCTTTTTAGTTGCATCTAAAGCTTTCTGCATCACTAGTGATTTTGCTCTCTTTAGCTTCGACTTAGAAACGGTTGCAAACATTTCTTCTTGAACTGTCTGCTGCATGTGAGGTATTTTCCAGCATGGGTTGGCAAAAATAAACTTTTCATATTTCCTAGCAATTACAGCTGAGGTCACTAGTTTATTGTCTCTTCTAGGTGGACACATGTGATTATTTGTAAATGTAGATATTTGCCAACTATCAGACCTAGAAGTATTTGACAACAGACATACCCATGGACAACCTTTCCAGTCACATATTGCCCTCACCCTCTTTGGGTCATTCTTAATAAACCGAATAACCTTTCTCTCATCCAAGCCATGCTTAAGTGCAGCCTTCTTAAATTGCTTTTTGGAACTAAATTTCATTTCCAACTTAAACTTGACAACAGGCTTCTTCTTGTTAAATCTTGGATATAGGCTACCTTGCCCTGTACCCCCTAACTCATCAATAGATTCTGCATCACTACTATCTAAATATGGAGTGTTGTTGCCATCATCCTCATCCTCTTGTTCATTTTGAGGCCTAGAATCAACACCTTCATATATCACATCATCTAAGCTTGCTGCCTCACCCTTCTTTATCTTCTTCTTGAAATCCTTAAATTTCTTATGAATTTGGGTTGCTTCTTCATCATCACCAGAACTACATGAGTCTCCAGGCATGTACTCACCGTCAGTGTTAGACATCTCATCTCCATTTGTGTCTCCTGGCATGTTATTTGGAGTACAGTAAAATTGACTGACAAGGTCAACTTGCTTGTCTATTTCTTTGCTTTCACCTTTCCAAATAGTCAAAGGTTGCAGATCTTCATCTTCTATCTCATTATCCTTGGAATTTTCTTCCATCTCTTCCTCATAGACACTTGCTTCAATAGCTGCATCATACTCATGATTTTCAGCATACACATCTGCAACATCACCTTCAACAATGCAGTCAGACATGATCTGGCACACTTTGTCATCAACTAAAGCTCTCAGGCCTGTGCTCATGTCTCTCCCTGGAAATAGCCAATGCAACATTGTGCCTTCTTTGACATTGCAATGGTCACGGAGATGGCCAACAACTTCAGGCAGCGACAACTTGTCTCGGTCGATGTAAGACATAGCTTGAGTACCTCCAACATAAAACACTCCATTGCTATTCCTCAAGAACTCCCCATTAAAATGAAACCGAACAGGGAGGAAGTCGCAACCATCCATGCCTAATCACGTGACACCTACGTGCAGAAGATACAGACTACGAGGTTCAGTACTAATAAAATAGGTGCGGTAAGAACATTAGTGCTTAAAATAGGACTACAAGTGCTTAAAATAGGACTACTGATGTACCCATTACTTGTTAAATTACACAATCACCAAGAAAAACAACTCAAAAATACAGGATCCATTTGCGGCTTAGCGCTCACCGTGGTCAGCGGCACCGTGCTCGCGAGTTGGCGTGATGCGCTCGCCGAGGCCCAATAGCACCGCTCCTGCATGCGTGCTGCGCCCAGCGCCCGCCCAGGCCCAGCGGCACCGCTCACTGCACCCAACGCCCACTGCCCCGCCGCCTCTCGCAACTCGAATGCCGGAGCTAGGGTTCGTCAGTTTGGGGGATTTTTTTGGGAACGAACAGAGTCGATCAGATCTTGGGCACGGGCACTTCTACTTGATTTAGTGCTGACTCAGCGAATACCGGAGGCCAAACCACCGAGGGAGGTCAGGTGCGTGGTTTGGAGAGATGAGGGAGGTCTTGTGCCTGGTTTTAGAGATGAGGGAGCAAAAGTGAACTAGTGCAAAAAATGAGGGAGCAAAAGTAGACTTTTTCCTTTGGCTATTTACCGGGCCGTGCCGTGCCTGGGGTCCGGAGAGTCAGGCCATGCCGGCCTGGGCCCACACAACACCGGGCCATGCCGTGCTTGGACCGGGCCAAAAAACCGTGTTGCTTGCTGCATGCTCATCTTTACTCAGCCGCCATTAGCATTGTTAGTACTTTAATTTTGTGCGCCTGGTCGAATGCGCTCTCCCGGTTCAGACTTTGAATCTGATATATACGCACGCTTATCTTACATATTTGCTTGTTACGTTTGACGTTGCCAGGACGAAAGCGTAGCTATTCAAGTAGAGGCTTTCCATGTTTTAAGCCCGTGTTTAGTTAAAAAAAAAGTTCCAAAAAAGTGCTACAGTATCCATCACATCGAATTTTACGATACGTGTATGGAGCATTAAATGTAGACAAAAAAAAACTAATTGCATAGTTTGGTTAGAAATCACGAGACGAACGTTTTGAACCTAATTAATCCATGATTGAACACTAATTGACAAATAAAAACGAAAGTGCTACAGTAACCAAATTACAACTTTTCAACAACTAAACATGGGCTAAGGTACTATATACGTCAGTCAAAGTCCCCTGCCTGTCCCGCTGCTGCTGCAAACAAATTCTCGTTGGTTGAATTGATAAAGAAAAATGCCGTCTCTGCCTATACATGTGCAGCTGTTCGTCGCTAACAAGGAGCAGCCACCTGAGATCACCAGCATACTGCGCGCCAACAGAAGCAAGCTCCTGAGGTTCCTGAAAGACTTCACCACCGTGGAGAAAGGTAAATTTGCGGCACGTACGATAACCTCTCCGCATGCATGCACCCAGTTAACCAAAATTCTACATGTTCCAAGACGATGGACCAACTTGAATTCACTTGTTGAATGCAGACGATAAGAAGTTCGAGGCCGACAAAGCTACGGTCATCTCGGAGATCCTAGCGCTAGCTGAAAAGCAGTAGACAGACATGTTGGAAGCGTCGAGATGCAAAGTGCAGTAGCTAGCTAGTGTCTGTCTCCGTGTGTTTTGTGTTTCATATACGGAGTATAATCGAATGTGAAGCGTGAAGGTAAAGCCTGTGCCGGCTCATTGGTTTCTTTAATTTGGGCCGCCGCGGCGCCGCGCCACAAGTGAGCGCGCAGCGTGCTGCAGTGCTGACAGGTTGTTGTCTTTACCGTAGTAGTGACAAAGTACCTTTTACCAGTCGAGTATCCTGTGCCATGTACTAGTCTGTGTCGTGCTTTATTTTTGGAGTGGATGGATACTCTCATGTCGCGTGTGTGTCGACTGGTGTGTTGGACAAGGTACGGCTGGGCCGCTGGAGGCCGCGAGTCGCTACATGGAGTGGCCCGGTAGCCTGTTATCCGTCCGCCCTTACTGCGGCCGTGGGCTGCCGGCCTGCTCTGAAACTGCAACCACGTCCGGCCCACAAGACAACGTAAATAGCCTGCTGGTTCCTCCAAAAAAACAGCTGGTATACCACCGTGGAAAAAAGTCGCGCCATTGGATTTCTTGTTTTCTGCTCTGAAAAGGTGCAGTACCAAGTAGCAACCCGAGCAAACTGGCGCTCAAGAAGCCACAGCCAACCGGTGAAGCGCTCGGTGTTTTCCGTGCAGGCGTTCGTGGTAGCACAGAGATTGTTGTTTGCGCATACAAATCGTCACGGCATATGAGCATATCCATGGAGTCTGGAGCAAACATGAATAGAATTTTTGTTCCGGATTACGGCGCAGGCGCAGCGACTTATGGATGTACAGGTTACACCAGCATAGTATGGTGCAGGACTCGATTACTGCTCACCCAGGAGAAAGACACGAAAGGCGACACTACTAGGCGGAGAAGAAGCCGTCGGCAGCGGCCAGGGCGAGCCCGGTCTTGGGCTCCAGGTGCACGGCGACGCTGACCCTCACCCCGGACGCGGCGGCGGAGGCAGACTCCACCCACGAGCTCCACACCTTGGCCACGGCCCCGAAGTTCCTCCTCTCGCCGCCACTGTCCCCGCCGGCGCCGGCCCCAGGGGCGCCTCTCTTCGAATTCTTCTGGAACTGCTCCGTCACCAGCAACGCGATGTCCGCCATCCTCTCTTTAGTCTCTCTTCACTGAGCACGATCTCGCTCGGAAACACTCTGCCCTCGTTTGCCCTGCACTGGTCTCTGTGGATGCTATCTGTGAACCGTGATGAACGATGAGCGGGACCGGGCTGGTCTATATAGTCCCGCGCCGCGCCTGGGTCGGTGGCGATTGGGTCTGCTTCCGGATAAGCATCGCTTTTCAATTCTGCTGCCGCGTCGACGGTTTGTGCAGCGATCTGGGTCGTCGCTGGTTTGGTTTCTTCGCTTGATGGCGGACCCTGTCTCTTTCTGTGGTCTCCAAATTTAATCCCGTTGGCCGGTGAGGAGGCGGCGGCGACGTGCCGTGGGCGCCGCACTGCCGCGGCATGTTGCACGTTCTGTAGCAACACGTCCTGTCTGTCTGTCTCAGCGATTTTCCTATTTTATATTACATTAACTATTAATTATTATTACAGATCTGTCTATATATCTAGTTTTGATTTGACTTTTTATACGTCAATTTTACTATGCATCTACGTATGGATGTGCTAAAAAGGTCAAAACAACTTATAATTTAGAATGGACGAAGTATATCATTAGTAGTAGTACTGTATAAGTAGCCAATCGTTTTGTGCTTGTACTACTTACTACTAATGATGCAAACAAATACGCTAATAACGCAACACGGATTTAACATGTTTTTTTACTACGGGAAGTATTTCCACGTCCCATGTGCTTGATGCGGCTTGCGATACGTCTCGCTCAGTCGCTCTTGGATGTGAACGTAAAGTAATAAACAGTCACATGATGCAAATCTCCCTGTGGCGCCCCGTCGATGTCTTTCTTTCACCGTCGATCAGCACATGGCCGTGCTCCCCGTGTGCGTTTGTGCGGTGCAGACTCCCCCCCCCCCCCCCCGTTTCCGCGATTGATGCCCCGGTCGTTTTCCGTCTAGACACTTCCTAGATTCCTAGGTGCGGTACCACCCGCTTGGATGCCGGCGGTGGTTGCAGTGTACCAAGCAGTAGCGCCGACCAGAGTCACGCCATGCGCCCATGCCGTGCCTTGTGCTTCAATCACAAACAAGGTACTACGCACTAGTATTCTAGAGGACTTGGTTCAATCACAAACACCGGTTAGATAGGTCATCATCACAGATGATGTATCCAGATCTTAGCTGACTCATGGCCCTCATCATTGTCCTCGCCTCCTTCGACAGGTGGGCTACTACTAACCACACCTGCACGCCAGCATCGCACTAACCCACAGAAAGTGGTGTCTTTTTGTTGGAGGTACACGTCTCGCATCTTCCTGCAGTGCAGGGAGGGACGATTTCTCGAGCTAACTGTCCACAGAAACAGCGAGGTTGCAGAGCTGATCAGCAGAGCAGAATAACGACCGGGGATGTGCCTTGCCTTGCCTTTGCTAGCGCCAGGCTTTGCGCCACCAAGATGCCTGCAGCCTGCCTTTTCCCCGAGGGCGAGAGTGGACCGCGCACCAGAAAACAAGAAGAAACCCATGTGTGCCGCGTCGCCGTCAGTCCACGGTATTAGGCCGCGGCATCGGGCGCCAGTTTCGCTAAACAAACCAAAGCAGCTTCGCAAGTTTGCGCAAAAGCAGTTTTGGCTCACTCACTCCCACAGCGTGACTGACCTGATACAGAGACGTGCACGCCAGGGCAAGATCAACACTCTACTCGGGGAGAACTGAACCTGCACGGATTCTTCAATAATCTTGGCCCTTGTTTAGTTCCTTCGAACTTCTGAAAAGTGCACTATACAAAAAAAAAGATATCTCGTCACATTAAACTTACGGTACATGCATAGAGTACTAAATGTAGACGAAATCAAAAACTAATTACACAGTTTGCTTTAACTTTGCGAGACGAATCTTTTGAGCCTAATTAGTCAACGTTTGAACAATAATTCACAAATACAAACGAAATGCTACAATAAGAAATTTTCACTGTGCAAAGTTTGCCTGCCCAACTAAACACCGCTTTGAATGTATCCCAAAACATACATGGGTCGCCGTAACGCTGTCCTTTCCGTAATAATCATAAAAAAATAAGCCGAGGAAAACAAACACCCCTTGGACTTGGATGCAGGTACAGCTCGCAAGTCAACAGTTCACAAGACCTGGTACCCTACTCTCTGCAACGAAAAAAACCGATACATGTTTTCAGTAGTTCACACGGCGTGCCAAATTCACCGGAAAAAACTCGACGGCCCCTGGGGTTTCCGTTAAGAAAAAGGATCTTTTCACACAGATCGAGAAAACTCCCGAACTCTCACCCCCATCCTGACGCAGGAGGTGCCGTCACCCTGTGAGAACCGGGTCAGGGCCTTCCACTGCGCTTTGGCACATGGGGACGGGCGATGGGATTTTTTTTAACCTCAGCCTAAAATCCGTTCTCACGAGGAGTCGAACCTAGGACCTGACGACCCTTTGGCTGCCAAATTCACCGGAGCAACAACAGGTTATACATTTCTAATTTTCTACTAGTACCACACATGAGACAACTCTTTGGTGTGTTGTAGGCTTCACTCCTCTTCACTCAGATTACGGCCTTACGGGGACACATCTGAACACCAGCCTTGTTTGAACACTGCAGATCATCAATAAAAGACTCCCAGGGAGCCTGTGGAGACGATAGCATGGACCCTTCTGTTATGAATCGCTGCAAAGAAATTCGGTGAAGACGCTGAGTGCATCCTGCAGGTACGACGACCTGATTTCATCAGGAACTGGAGCGTTGAGCATCGTCTGAAGACATCCCATGGGTAGATTCAGCGTCTCGCTTGGGGTGTCCACAAGAAGCTCACATAGCTCCTCTGCTATCTTCGAGTAGCATGCCCTGTCATACCTAACACTGTCAGCAAGCCCAGAGAGTATTCTGAAACAAAACCTAAACAAGCTACAGATACATATGTTTCTGAATTGGTGCTAATCAGCTGAAAGTTGAACAATTTAACATAACAGTGAACTTCCTCAGGTTTCTTGGGTTTGCTGTTTGCATGAGCTTAAAGGGCCAATTCCATTAAAACGTGTGTAAAGAAGCTAATGGTTTCTGGTGGACATAGGTTCTTAGTTTCTTCAAATAGTGGATCAGTCGCATAATGTAGAATCAAATGTTACCTTGACTCAACAGGTAATTTGCTTCCCCAGACTAACAATGAATCATTTAATCGGCCAAAGAAACTTCTGCATGATTCACTTATCTCCTCGAGTGAATCCTGAAAGAAAAAGTATACTGATCTCGGTCACAAATCTTCAAGCAAATGTTTGTCTTTGAAGAAAGGGCTCATACCAAATCATCCATGGCATTTCTTTCTTGCATTGAGTTCTTTAGAATGTAGAAGTCTATGTATATTCCGGCACCAAGGTCCCAGTCAGCAATTTCAGACTTATGGTTCTCCAAGGCACTTGTGATCTTCCAGACCTCCTGATGGTTAGCTGAGCCAAAATAACAATGAATCAAGTGACTGCATATTCATACCAAGAATGCCATGTTTATTAAAAAACAGAAGAGAAATGAAAAATACAACTCCACCAAGCATATAAATAAATCGATGAAGAGGAAAAGAATAGATTATTGAACAGACTCATCATCAGGTTTCTAGCAAATAAGTGCAGCTGTATATTTATGTGGAGCAAAAGCAATATGTTTCGTCCATGGTGAAAAAAAAGGCAATACATTTACCAAATAAATAAATTCATTAAAAATTTGTTTACGGCACAGTAAGAAAAACTTACATGACAGAAATATAGAATGAGCAACAGAAGTCATGAAAATAGCATGAGCTTTCTTCCAGTTGCCACACTGAATAAAATTCTCCAGTGCACCCTGCTTATCTCCATAGTATTCGTGATAAAGAGCCTGTATATAGAGCTCATTAGCTATACATGCTTCATGTGTAATGTTTTTCATGCACTGGCATTATAAAATATTTGCAATGCATATTACTAAAGAAAATTCTACTCACCAGAGCTTCATGCATCCATTCTTCTGGTATACCAAGTTCCACAATGTATTGCCTTTGAGCATCATCTCTACTCCATGACTCACAATATTGTGATAAAACTTCCCTGATTAATTTCTCATGAATGTATGGGGCATCGTCAAGATACGGCATGTGTAGAATGACATAGATAGCCCAATGGCACTTCCCAAGACAAAGTAATTGATAAACAAAACTTAAATCTAGCAAGTGAAGATCATTTGAACTGAAAGCACCAACAGCTTCCAAAATCGAACGCTGAAGCCATATCATATGATAATCCAAGGGGTCGAATGAAGATGAGAATGCACTGAACATAGTTTTTAGCAGCCCAAACTTCTCGCCTTGATTGGCATGAAGAAGCATTAGGTAGAAGGAGATATCAAAATGGTCACCTGGGGACCACTGAGGCGCTTCATCAAGAGGTCCTTCATCTATATATACAGGAACAGGATAGGGAACTTTTCCCTCACCAAGGAGTTGATCATAAGAACGAATGATAATATCAAGTGGTGTTTCAGGTGATAATTGATACCACATAATCAAACCAAGGTACCTTTTCCAGTCAATTGGTGAATCAAGAAAAGCAGCCTGTACGTTACCAGCAAGCAACCTATATACCTTTAACCAGTCTTCTTCTATATAATCAAAATCTAGACCATTCATTTTCCACTGATCCAGTGTCTGAGCAAGGTCAGATCGATTTGACATTGACCCACCTGCCTGACTTAGCAAGATTGCCAACCGAACATCACCCCTTGAGACAGCAATTTCTGTGGCCGTGTCCAATTGTCGACCAGTCAAAAGAAGAAGGATATGTTCCAAGTACCTGGCATCATTTAAGGAGCTCACCTCTCCTTGCACCCGATGGCAAACACTGTCCTGTAACCAATTGCTGAAGTCTGCTCTCCTAAACAAAGGAAGTGCTTCAGGGTCTATGTCAACATAGCCTTCTTTTTTCTAAAACCATGCCTTCCTGATCATCATCTCCAACAGGCTCCAACTGGTTACCAGTTGCTCTTTCTGAGAACAAGACCCTGATTAACTCCCACACTGTTACTTGATGCATCAACAGCACACAGCGTGAGACATAGATAAATCACTGACTTCAAGCTGCTTTTCAATGATGTCAATATATGACCTGCAGATGTCAGGCAAAACCAAACGATTTGCCATGACTTTCTGAAGCTTTAATCTGAACGAGTCAGACTCAGTCTCCAGAAACTCATGATCAAGACTCTTATGGAGGTCCATTGGATCAGAAAAACATAGTTCTGTTAGGTCATCCTTAATCTTGTTCTTATCATCACGCACAACTTTGTCACTTGCAACTTTCTCTATGTGAATAACAGAAGATAGGCCTGTTCCAGGATTATTGACCAGACTACCTGAATGTACAAGTAAACCATTTGGTCCCCAACCAACACGAAATGATCTACCCATGAATAAAGCAGCATCCACTACACAATTAGTATACATGTTTCCAGCAACAGGAGTTTCTTGGTCAGCCGGCAGCTTAAAACCATCCACCTTGGTCATACTCACTGGAAATCCTCTGTTTTGCCCAGACATAAGAATACCCTGGGTCGATGGGCCAAGATCTGAAGAATTCATACTGTATTCCAAAAGTGCCTGAGGTTCTTTCCGAACCGGCATACCAGATCTCCTGCCAGCCTTCTGAGAAGACATGTGCAAGGGAGAGAGAGGCCTTAACCTCAAACCTTTACCGCTTGAGGCAGGTGAATCCACATTCATCCTTTCTTTGCTAACGTACCTCTCGTCAGAAGGGAACCCATCCTCCATATATTCATCTTCTTCCTCATTGGAAAACATCACCATCCTCATTTCTTGCATCTTTGCAGGGTCAAGCCCGAGATGAGCAGGCAATGAATGGGAAAGCTCAATTTCATGACCATTTGAAGGTGGATCTCTTTCTCTTACTTCAGTAATTGGCTGCCGAACAGCTGCCTCATCCATCACAGCATCCTCTTCCTCCTCATCGACAAGCCCAAATCTACTAAAATGGTCAACCTCAAATTTCCATTTTCCACTCACTGGATTGAATGAAAGAAACCTAGAACCTTGCTTTCTTGCAGAACACCTTAGCACCTCAACAAGGATACTGGGCTCCGGAAGATCCTTCAGACTCAGCAGCAGGGACACTTCTGCTGCTTTGTTAAGACCATGCCCTACAAGTGGCTTACAAGTCTCATCTTCATAAACCACCACATAGTGTTTTTCGAACCTGACAATTTCATTCAGGTCAATGCCCCTCACATCAGTGTCGCCCAAGAACCTAACCTGCCCATATCCAGCCCTCCCTATGATGAAGTTTGGAACCCTGCTGCAGTAGCCAGGATCAGCCACCTCCCTCTCTACCAGCTCATCAATTGATGGCCTTGCGAAGTACTCGGAGGAGCGCAGCACAGGGAACACAGTGCTAGCTGCCATGGGTGGTAGTGAGGCGATGACCCAGAATCAGCAGCAGTGAGTGACGGATCCCTGCCGTGGTGCCATGTACTTCATTGCTCCATACACAACTAACCCTGCTCCACAGAAAACATGGTTCATGGTGAGATGAGAACATTCGCCAAGGTTATGTGACATTTTCTAAAAGAAAACACACATACACCTACGTTTTAGGATATTTTTCAATGCATAAATAATAGCCAATGAGCCACAATTAAATTCTAAAGGCATTAGCAGCATAGCAGGATCATTTCAAATTGCTCTACATTCTTGCAATTGAGCTGTCCTGCTCTTGTTTTCAGATTTCCAATAAGCCAAACACTCCAACGACTAAAGTTACGGTCACCTGCCGTGTCTCTGCTGGCTCCACTCCACGGACGAATTGACCACGAGAGAGGGCGAGGGGAGAGGAAGAGACTACGAGTGAGGGAACAGGAGAGAAACCTGGGCAGGTGGTCGAGCTCGTCGCTCGCGTGCGGGTGTCAGCAAACGGGGCTCCCCGCTCCCCGGGAAGTCGCGGAGAGGGCGGCGTGCGTCGCCGGAAGCTGCTTCACGTTGGAGCTCACCGCCGGCGCCGGATCTCGCCGCAGGTGTGTGTGCAGGCAGGAGGGCGGCGGCGGGTGGGCGGGGGGGAGACTTGGAGGAGGTGGCTGGACAAGGGTTCGTGTCACAACAGAGAACAGCGTTGTGGGCCAGACGATATTTGGGCTGTGTCCTTAAAAAGGCCATTATGTATTGGCAGACGATGTTTGGGCTGTGTCCTTAAATGGGCTTATCGTTTGGCGCATCGGCTATTCCTTCTACGGCCGGGTCACGACGATGAGGAGTGGACGACGGAGAGGGTGGGACGGACTAGCAACGGAGCCGGTGTCGAGCGAGGGAGACCAGAGAAGCTGCAAAAATCTCCACCACGCGGGCTTTGGGCCCTTTGGAAATAAAGCCTGCCATAAAACAGGGCCGCGTCCTCTGCTAGTAATAATAAGTACCGGGTGCTAGCGGTAAATACGGGAAGATGCACATATACAGATCGATGCCATGCTCGCTCGCTCGCTATTATATTTATTATAATTAACTATAGTTCTTTTACAAACAGTTCACAAGCTAGAAAAGACATTTTGATTTTCTGACGTTTTCTCCCCTTTCATCCATTTATTCCTGTGGGGGGGTTCTATTTCACCATGACACCACCAACACACCAAACCCGGGAGCATGCCCATCAAATCATCTGCTTTCAGTTTCATTTCAGGCCATGCATCCTGCGGTTGCAGGAAGTGTTGGTTCCACGCAGACGCATTCTCAGTTCAAAGCATGTTCCTTCAGAGCCCTGACATTGCGTAGTCCATGGAGTCCACCAAGAAGTCTGTGATAAACAGCATTTTCGTTAGTTGTCCGTGCAATGTGATAATTGAAAGTTTTTTTTAAGACTTCAGAACTGTTCGAACCTGCATCGTCCTTCGAAAAGCACATTGGTGGTTTTATTCTGAAGACGTTACCATGCAGACCCCCCTTTCCAACTAGTACCCCGAGATCTGTTAACAAAGATTATGAAGCAAAAAAACATAAATATCAGGGCATGTAGAGATCAATAAATAATCATGGCCATGGAGATGGAGGGGAGAGAAGAGAGACGGCACCTTTGAGCTTCTCAAACAGTTCAGTGGTTTCTGCCTTGGCAGGGGTCTTCTCCTTTCTGTCCGTAACGAGTTCCACCCCAAGCATCAGTCCCCTTCCTCTAACATCACCTATGACTGACAAGAGCGAGGTCAAGAGTAGCTGAGTTAGAAGAACTTTTTTTTAAAAACAAATGGTTAGCCGAAAAGGTTGGACAACATAAAGAGTACACGAACTGAATCAAGATTAGAAATTTTACTTTCGTGCTTCTCCTGAAGCGATTTTAGACGCTCCACCAAGTGAGCCCCAACATCAGCACAATGTGTCTGGCGTTTCTCCTTGTCAAGTACCTTAAGCACAGCTAATCCACCAGCAGAACATACTGGATTTCCACCAAATGTGTTAAATTGGATTTTTTGAGCTAACACACTTGCAATCTCAGGAGTTGTTACAACTGCCCCCAATGGTAGGCCATTGCCAATTCCCTGAAAACATGGAAAATAAATAAATTGTCACATAAGCATGGAAAGATGTTGCCACCAAAAAAAAATAAAAGAGACATTTTCCCGAGGGTTGATTAGTACATGCTTGCATTTTAGAGTACAAGATAGACCTTTGCCATGGTGACTATGTCAGGAATGACACCTTGTGTCTGGAATCCCCAGTAATGACTGCCAGTACGACCAAAACCACTCTGGACTTCATCAGCAATACAAACGCCACCAGCCTTGCGCACAATGTCATAAGCTAACTTTAGGTATCCAGGAGCTAGTTCAACAGCACCTCCCACACCCTACAGCAAAGATAGTGTATCAACAAGATTGCGACAAGGATAAGTTATTTTGAAGTGAGTTTATAAACAAACAATACCTATTATTTCAGTTCGTTGTAGCATTTTATAAATGGTCTGTTCAAAGTTTATACCTGGAATGTTTCTGCAATGAAGCCTGCAACCCTTCCTGAACTTCCATAAGTTATGTGTTCTTCAACTTCCTTAGCATAAGCTGCAGCATCAGACCCGAAAGTCCCCCGATAAGGATCAGGGTTCATGACATGATGTATTTCACCCTGCAAATTTTTTGATGAGGCTATGATAGATCTAACTAATAAACAAATGGATACTTTTTTGCTGGGTACAACGGAGAGATAAATTATTAATAACTAAGAATCTACTTCTGCAAACATGGTGACTGTGAAAAACATAACCAGTCAAATAATTTGATGAAAGTGCAGTACTTGATTATACAGTATACATACCTGAGGAATTGGGTATTTCCATGTCTGCAAACCAGTCAATCCAATCGTGCGGCACTTCCACCATGATATGCATTTCTGAGTGCAACCATACTGAGATTCCCACTATACAGCCGGGCCATCAACATTGCCAATTCATTCGCTTCAGTCCCAGAATTCACGAAATACGCAACCTGCAGCACCCAAAAACATGACGAGGTCTTCAGCTCTTACCTGCATACATAAATGAAAAGGTGCGTGTTATGGCGGCACCCAGACAGACAGTACATTTACCTTGAGATTGCCAGGCATTTTGGAGGTGAGGGCCTCTGCAAACTCTACAATGGCATGATGCAAGTAAATGGTGGTTGTGTGCTGGAGCAACTTGGTCTGCTCCACCACCGCATTCACAATATCCGGATGGCAATGGCCACACGACACTGTCACGATGCCCCCAAAGCAATCGAGGTATCTCTTCCCGTTCTCGTCATACAGGTACTGCATCTTCCCTCCACAATGTTGAGCTGTGAACACAATTGAATAGTAAATTCTTTAGACATCGTGTCAACGTCATTCTGTCACTGCTTCAACGTTTTATAGAGTAAGAAGACTACACGTGGTTGTTGTGCTACAAGAATTCTTTAACATGATCAGTTTCACCCGAAACTTAGACAGTCAAGGTAAACCACCATATGCAAAATACATTAAAATTTATTCTCCTAGTAAATTGGTGTCGCAACAAAGATGACGCTGCTTTATGATGAAGGTCAACACATGTTCACTGAACCCCACCTTTTTGGAACATTAATCTAATTTCACCGCACGAAGACAGTTTAACAAAGACGAGCAGGCAGTGAGACGTATTTAATTTAATTAAGATCAACACTCGGAGGGTATACCGGCTTCTGGTAGTAGTGGAAGAGCGACGGGCCGAGCACCGCCTTCCTCTTCTCGAAGATCTCGGCGCCACCCATCCCGGCGTACGGGCGGGGCCGGTGGTCAAACGGCGGCATCTCCGGCGGCGGCCGCGATGGTGCCCGCTCGGGCGCCGCCTCGGACGAGACCAGCCGCCGCAGCAACTCCACCGGGCATCGCCGGCGGCTGGCGACAGCGCCACGGTGAAGCAGCGATGCGGCCATGGACGGAGAACCAGGAATGGAATATGAATTCGCTAGGGCTGGTTGCCTGGTGATTAAGATGAAAAAGAGAGATAGGGCAATGGAAGAGGGATTAAGCACGCGAGGTGAGGGAAGGATTAGTGGTACTGGGACGTGGCAAAGGTCCAGATTCCGATAGGGATGAATCCTGATTCTCGTCGTGGGATCTTTATCTTCCTGACGTGGTGCGGCGTGTACTCGTCTCGCTGATATGTGGGCCGATAAATCGGTTGGTGGCGGACTGGTGGGAGTGGTGGCGTGTAAAGGGGGTTGAGAGTCATTTCGTGGATCGTGACGACGATATATTCCTTAAACAAATTGTTATCTTGATGCGGCTTTTTCTCAAAAAAAAAGGAAAAATCTTGATAGGGCTCACGGGCCCTGACACTTTTCCACCTTCCAAACTTTTAGTGCTGCCTCAGTTCTCAATGGAATTGAAAATTTGAAATCTCGCTTACCGAGCAGTTAAATAGTATCTTAGTTTAATCTAGATATAAATAATATCTAGTTTAATCTAAATATAAAAATAAATATCTAAATTAATCATAAAATATATACCTCATATAAAACAAATTCTACTATAGAGTCTATCTTACTAGTGGAATATCTCGTACATTGCTATGGGAACTATGGAGTGATTTAGGGTTAATGATGAAAATACATATGATGGATCATTCTAAAATTACGGAGGACTAATAGTTAAAGCCTTAAAGTGCGTCAGTGAATAATATATGATTTAGCTACAGGTTTGTCTCACATTATTATCTCATGGTTTGTACTGTCAGGTTTGAATAGTTGCATATTTTAAACATAAACATGGGTATTGTTTTACGGAATGTAAAAAGTTTGAAGCATGTTCGGGATATGGGCCTATTTGGTAGCACTCCTCCTCAGGTGCTTCTCCGGAGAAGTCGAAGCACCTGAGAAGGAGTCACTTTTTGTATCTAGATGTAATATATATCTAGGTGTGTAGTAAAAGCAATATATCTAAAGTAAAATAGCTTATAATTTAGAATAAAGAGGGTATATGATAAGAAGAAACATTTAGAGACAGACTTGGGCCGTTAGTTTTCTCTGGGCTAACATCCCTGCAGCTTAAGCCCACCATTAGCCATTAACTGAGGTGTGTGCGCGCTGGACGGGCCAAAATTGGGTTATGTTGAATCTTTTCTTGGACGGGGCCAAAGATTGGTCAATGCATTCGCCGGTGTTCTGAAACTGGACAGGAGCAATAATGACACGCAATGACACTATGGCAGGGCTAAAATTAACATGTTGATGCTGATGAATTTTTGACTTCTCGAGGCCGCGAACTGGTGACTCCTTAAACGCTCGAGGAATGCCGCTACCCGCTGCCGTTCATTAGTTCAGATTCATTTTCGCATACAAGAACATATAAAGTTTCTTTTTAATTAAAAGAGCTTGGACTGGATCCTGTATTTATTGGAATCTCGATGGTTAGCAAGTTCGATCCACTTCGTTCGTGTAGCTAAGTTGCACAAAAGATGAGCAACTGATAGCGCCTGCGCATGCAACTGTACGAGGCAAGGCATGTGATGTGCTCGGCAGACAGGCCATGCATTGATGCAGGTGATTGCATTCATATTCAGATAACTCAATTTCATCGGAACTGCAGGTTCAGATGAATGCGCAGCCAGGAATGCTAATGGCTGTCCCATTTTGTGGAACCAAAACGACTGCCATGTACTCTGTCGGTCTGTCCATTGCGACATCTCAGGTGATATTTTTATATATAGTAATTACGAATGGCCATATGCATCGGAGATGTAGAGGCTAGAATACTTTTTATTTATTTATATTTCCATCATTTATAAAGATTTGCTTTGATGCATATGCTTGGGGTCAGTCAAATGTGTAATCTAACCTTTCGTACTGGTAGTTGCATTGCTCCGGTTGTAATGTTATAGCAAGTACTCGTACGCGAAGCATCTGCCCTGCTTGCCTCGACGAATCACTTCACGAGTAGCCGTGTCCGCGTGGGAAGATGCCTCTGCAATCTCGCGACTCGGAGTGACAGTTTCTGAATGACGCGACCATCAACGATTGGGCTACATGGGCACACCTGGGGCCCAATGAACATCGGGCCGTTCGACCGCATTGCAAGTTGGAAAAAGTCAACGTTACCTCTCTCAACTTTTACGAAAATCTATTTTTGCTTTCTGAACTTTAAAACAAGGTAAACCACCTTCCTAAACTTTTAAAACCGTTCATTTTACCTCCCTGGCTAATTATAAGCGGTTTTCAAAAACAGTTTTGTCGTTTTCTTTTTTATTTATTTTTGCTGAATCTTTGAAAAATCATAGTAAATCATAAAAAATCATAAAATGAAAAAATTAATTTTGTTGGACTCCACATGAGTAGTTCTCCATAGTGAACATATAATATGGTATGCTTTAGTATAAATGTTTTGCTGTAGCTTTAGATCTATGCTTTTCTATAATCAATTCATAGCTATAGTTTTTATGGTCCAATTGCGGTGAAATTTTTATGGTGGGCTAATTATTTTATGCATGAACTATAGTAAAAATATCATACTCATTGGATCACGTGTAACTTAGTTATAGATTTATTTATGTGTATGCTTGTTAAAAAGTATTTATAAATCTATAACTAAGTTATACATGATCAAATGAGTAGGAAATTTTTACTACAGTTCAATCATACAATAATTAGCCCACCATAAAAATTTCACCACAATTAGACCATAGAAACTGCAGCTATGAATTAAATATAAAAAAGCATAAATCTAAAGCTACAGCAAAAAAATGTGTACTAAAGTATACCATATTATATGTCCACTGTGTAAATCTACTCATATGAAGTCCAACAAAATTAGATTTATCATTTTATAATTTTTCTATGATTTACTATAATTTTTCAAAATTCAGCTAAAATAAATAAAAATAAAAAGACAAAATCGCCTTTGAAAACCACTTATAACCTGTTAGAGAGGTAAAACGAACGATAAGCGGGGCCCGTCTACGGGCCTGGGCCCTGGCCATGTCGCGCGCCGAGCGCGGCGGGCCACGCGCTGGCGCTGGCGCGGGGACTAGATCCGACAGCGGTTCGACTCCCGTGCTCGCCCGCCAGCCCTCCGGGCCTCCTCTCGCCCGGCCCGATCTGGCAAACACAACCGCGCGCGCTGGTGGCTTGCTCGTTCTCTCGCCGACTGGCACATCTTCCGCGTGCCCGCCCTCGGGATCGTTCGGGAAACAGGGCCGTCGTCCTGCGGTGTCTCGCGCTGCCGAGGCAGGCGAGGACGTACGACCGAGCGGCAGGGCGCTGGCTGACAGGCACCGGCACCACGAAAAGCTAGTTGGTGGAGCACGCAGCAGGGGGCCGGCCGGCCAGGCCCGCGCCTTTTCGGTTCTGCGATCTGCGGCGGGTGGTGAGGTGAGCCCATGCATGGAAGTTCCCTGGTGGAGTGTGCTGGTGCGGTGGTTCCCTCCTCCACGCTCGGGGCCGCCTGAGCCAGGTCGCTGTTGTGGTCCACTGCACCGCGCGGGAGCGGCGCGTGGGATGGACCTGTTGAGGTGGTGAGGAGGGAGGGCCGGGGGAGGACCATCTTATCAGCAGGCAGCGGCGTGCCTGCGCCTGCCCGGAAGCTGGGATTCGCTTTCGTGCCGGTAATTGCCGCCCGGATCGTGGTGCCCGATCCAGCGGCACGGACAGCGACGGGCCTCCCGTGGCACTCTCATACCACCGCCGGCGCGGCGCACCCCGGCCCGGCCAGGCCCCTACTGTCCGTCCGTCCGTCCGGCAACTGATGGGTTGTCGATCGGCGATCTATCGAGCCTCTTGCTGGTTGATGCTACTATACGTGCTACTAGCCAAGTCAGTCCGATCGATCGGGTCCCTTTGAAGTTTCAAGACATGCGTATACTCCTACACAAATGTATCGATCGAGCACGTGTGGCACGCATGTATTATTACAGCCTAGCAAACCAGTAGTATAGTATTTATTATGCCAGTCTCAATGCGGGTTTCGTGGATGTATCATGCACATTAATTAGATGGCACATCAGCAAGAAAAGGAATCTTTGCATGATTTTAGGAGGAGAGAGAGGGAATACGTTTCATGGCCACGACACGTTTGGGCACCGTTACCAGGTCCTCGGTAACTGAATGAAACTCGCGTTGAGGGGCGTCTGGCGTTTCATCCTCATCCCGTGCGGCCGGGCTCCCGACGGCGCGCCCTTCTCGCCCCCTCCCGCCTCCCTCCAGTCGTTCCCGCCCCTCTCCTCCTCCTCCGTGGATAGGTTCGCCCCCCGCACATCGCCTGCGCTAGGGTTTCAAATCAGCGAGCAACGCTGCTCCGATGGCACCAGCGGCGAGCTGCGGGCAGCGCACCTCCACGAGTGGGGGAAAGGGCGAGCGGGTAGCCGTCTGGGACTAATGAAGTCGTCCACGACTGCGCCGTCGCGGCCTCCAGCTTCGTCACCGGTGCCGCCGCCGTTGCCTTCCCTCGAGGTGCCGGTGCCGCCACCAGTTCCCACGCCGGCCACTGTGGTTTCCTCTCCTGCTGTGCTGAGTTCTTCCCCTGCTCTCCTGTCTTCGTCTGTGATGCCGCAGCCAGCGCGAGTAGGATGGGGGGGCGTACCCCCAATTTTTTCCTCTAAACCTGGAAACCAACAATCCCCAAATTCATGGTAAGCACTTGATTTCGATCTGTGTATTCCCAAATTCATGGCTGTCGGTAGTTGATTTGTACTTGTTGGAAGTTGATGCGTACAAGATTGTTCATCATGATATTGAAGATTGTTTAGTATAGTTGGTTTTATAGTTGATCTTAGCATAGAAAGGTTCAGCTCTATTCTGGATGGTGTTAATGATAGTGTGAAAACTTCAGGGTCTATCCACTAGGTGGTTTTATGAATTTTCTTCAACAACCACACTATCCGCAGCAGCCACAAATTCAAGGAGAAAATTCTCAGAAAATCCTCTTTGTCCTTCCAATATTT